GAGCAGTCACCAGCCACATCGACCTGATCAGTGTTTGATTGTTGTGTCTTGTTGCTTTTCTTCTTTTGTCTCTCCTCTATTCACTCACCCCAACCGGTCGAGGCAAGAGCCGGGGTCTGTTGGAGGTTTCTTCCGTTAAAGGGGGTTTTTCCTCCCCACTGTCGCCAAGTGCTTGCTCAAGGGGGATTTGTTGGGTTTTCCCTATGTAATAATATTGATAACAGTAAGGTCTAGACCTTACTTTGTAAAGTGTCCTGAGATGACTTTTGTTGTGATTTGGTGCTATACAAATAAAATTTGATTTGATTTGATTTGATTTGATTCATGCTTCTCTTCAGAATTTTTCTAAACTTCATACCTTTGAAATATTTAGCTTTATTTTGAAACTTTTACACAATTAAAATGAATGGGAAATTCTACTTCAGCATAATTTCAGCTATTTCAGGTATTAAAATGTTCAGCTCTTCAAGGCCGTTCCTACTTTATTGCATCTCATCCTTCACATTATTCAACAAGGAACTTCAGCCATTTCTTCTCATCTGTTTCAACAAAGAACTTCAGCTATTTCTTATCTTTCAGCTGTTTCAGCAATTGATTTCAGGCATTTTCAGGACAATCTTTCAGCTTTTATTAGCATACACACGCATTTTTGACAGTAAATGCATTTCTCTAGTTCACTTTGTTTTCTGTAATAAGATATTTGCCTGTGTACGTATGTGGAAGTAACAAATTACATTTACTGTCATCACTGTAGCAGTTATTTTGTGTACAATGACTATTCTAGAATTAGTAATTATGTTGAAGTATTTTTATTTCCAGTATTGACTAAGTTGCAATTTTTACAGAGTAAGAACAAGTCACAAGAAAAAGTCATGATAAACTGTGAGAAAGGGAGAAAAGGGAGTAAAAGAAAGAAGTAGCAGCTGCAGTGGTGAGGAGGCTGCTGGTATGGCTGAGAGGAGACACTGTGCCCTTAGCTGACATGGCTGTGACAGATGTTCTAGATGTGCACATTGCTGAGGGGCAGAGTTAGTGTTAATGGTGTGGGCCCACCTGGACTGGGTCTAACAATCTGTAGTAAGGTTGGCATTATTGTTGCTCAGCATAAAATGTAGTGACTGAATTCAGTGCTTAATTTGTAAATTAAGAGGTCCTGGAGCAGGGGTGCCCACACTTTTTCGCCTTGCGAGCTACTTTTCAAATGACCAAGTCAAAATGATTGACCTACACTAAAAATACTACACGCGCGCACACACACACACACACACACACACACACACAAAAATATGTTTGAATGAGTGTCATAGTTTTTATGAACAGTCTGAAAGTGCTGCTCCACATTTACCTTCTTCAGAATAGTGATGGTAGATTGGTAGATCAAGCAAATGCACTTCAAATATAGCGTCGCGAAAAAAAGTTCTTCCCCCATTCAGCATGGAATGTTTTCGGTACGTTTCCGGTTTCTTACTTGATTTGGCTCCCCCACTTATTTTATACCCTTTAGTAGAAATTAATTCGAAGGCTGACAAGGTAGTTTGCTCACTGGAGTTTTGCAGTAGCTTGTGTGGTTGACTGTGCATGTTTGGTGACTCATGTGTCAGAAAAGACAAGATCTCAGACTGGCTGCCCTGCATGTCAATCAAGTAGCAAATGCCATAGGGAGGATGGGTGATAGGCTATATATGAATGATTGTCACTTTCTGATTTTCCCGTTTAGGGGTCGCCACAGTGAATCATCACACTGACCGTTCGCATGTTAACATTTGACACGTGAATTACGACAGATACATCTAATTTATTTTTGAATGGCACGCGATCTACCAACACTACCTTTGCGATCTACCGGTCGATCGCAATCGACGTATTGGGCACCCCTGTCCTGGAGTATCACTTGATGACCCAGCATATCAGTGTGAAGAGAGGAGGTCCTGGAATGAAAAAGGTTCCTCAGTGACCAGTGCATTTAAGTATTTTCATAAATTAGAGGCAAAACCATTGTTGTGTTTGAAGAGAACATTTTAAAGCAGCATGTAAATGGTCTCATTCTTGTACAGTGATTTTCTGTGCATTACAGCACACTCAGTGCTTTCACATTATTTGGCCATTCCCGTACCGGTGACATCACAGGGAGCCGCTGGGGGTTCAGTGTCTTGCTCAAGGACACTTCAGTGTGTGGACTGGACAAACCAGGAATCAAACCGCTAATCTTCCAGTTAAGAGACAACTCGCTCTACCTCCTGAGCCACAACCGCCCCCAACAGCTTAAAGCAGGAGAACTGTAGTTGGTTATATATATAATCTATTTTGTTATCCATCCATCCGTTATCTATACTGCTTATTCCTGACTATGGTTGGAGGCGGGGGAGTCAGTCCCAGATGACACTGGTTTAGAGGCAGGGTCCACCCTGAACAGGTCGTCCGCCTATCACAGGGCTCACATTCACTCCTAGGGGTAATCAACCTGTGGACTGTGGGAGGAAGCTGGAGTACCTGGAGAGAACCCAGGCAGACACAGGGAGAACATGCAAACTCCCGCCTCGGCCGGGACTTGAACCCAGAACCTTCTTGCTGTGAGGAAAAAAATAGCTCAAAACTATAATTGCAGACAATGAGGGAATTACTGGATACACTTGAAATGTGGTGTAGGCAATACGTACAATGGTTCCAACCCATGATAAAACACAGCAAATGGAAACTACACACAGTAAAAAGAACTACTTTGTTCAGTGGTCGGTGTGACAGATGGTTGCGTTTTAACTGTTTACTTGATGTATTTCCCTGTTTTGGTTATAACCTTTTTCCACCATCACTTTGTGTGTTTAATGGGTGTGTTCAATAAAGACATGAAAGATCAAGACTTTGTTTTATTCGCTTAGAAATAGTGTTTGTTGATATTTGTGACTTTGGTGGCGATCTGATCACATTTCATGACCAATTTATGCAGAAAATCAGGACATTGCAAACAGACATTGCCATTACTTTTGACTGTGACTGTTTTTCTGATACTGCACAGCTCAGCTGAAATGTATTTGAACCTATCAGAACACAAGCTGAACAGCACAGGCAGATTGTGAGGGTGGTGTCATCTAGAGACTAATCCTGGAGGTGCTAGACGGTGAATAATGCAACAACTGCTGAGACATGGTTTGGGCTTTACTGTAGCCTATGAGTACATTTATTGTAGTCTAAACTAAATGAACCTACATAATCGCTTACAAACTCGTCACGAAGGCACTAACTTCAAAATGTGTACTCTGAGGGCATAGCCAGTGTAAGTGGTGGCTATCAAGTCACACAGTGTTGCTGGACCTCTGAAAAAAGACAAAATGACAACAGAAGAAGTGGACATTAAACGTCAGACTGTTTAGTGCTCTTGTGAATCCAAATAATTGTACTGGATTACATTTGTAAGGGTTTGTTTGTACGCATCTGGTGTCATGAAGGTTTGGGCTGCTAGTGTGGCTATCAGTATCACTGCATCTCCAGACTGGAACCAAAAACAAACAAAAAACAGATCTTGATCTCAGTGGGTCCTTCAGGTAAAATAAAGGTCAAATCAAACAGTGGGCTGAGTTTTCAGAGCAGAAGCAGCATTCACTAAGTGTTACCAAAGCAATAAGACACATCTGATGAGCTTTTTCTCTGCTCTGTCTGTGCAGCTACTCAGTGAAAAGATCAGTGGAGCAGAGGGGACAAAGCTGGATGAAGACTTTATGGAGATGGAACGGGTGAGTTTAGTACAGGATGATGAAAGAGCTTCCTTACTCATTCAGACCTGTCCCCAGCTGAATAAACACTTGTCTGGAGGGACTTCTGATTTCTCTTTGAGTTTACAGGTTTTCTGAACTCTCATGCCACTAACAAATAAGTAGAACAAGCTAGTGGTTAAGGCACAGCGCTCTCGCCGCTGCGCCCCGGGTTCGAATCAGGGTTGCGTCAGGAAGGGCATCCAGCGTAAAACGCGTGCCAAATGTCAACATGCGAGTCATCAGTGTGACGATTCACTGTGGCGACCCCTAAACGGGAAAAGCCGAAAGTGACTTTCTTCATAGTAGGTAGGTAGGACTTTATTGATCCCACCATGGGGAAATTCCTGTGTTCCAGCAGCAACAAAACACCATAAGAACAAACACTACACACATATCTTGAGAGACAAATTCCAAAGTACCTAAAACCAGACAGAATAGAGTATTTGACAGTCAAGAACAAAAATGATCCTCTGACAATTAATCCCTGAGAACAAATCAAAATACCTAAGAACAAGACAAGATATAGTATTCAAGAGATCAAGAAATCAAGGACAAAAATATTACTCCCATAATTAATCCCACAATGGGGGAAATACCTGTATTTCAGCCATAAGGATTCTCTGAAAAACTACTCAAAAATACCTAAAACACGACAATCGTGAGAAATCAAGAACAAGATTTTACATATACACATATTTACAATGTCAACACAATTAAGTGGTTTTGGTTTTTGGTTACAGTTAGTGTGATTTGCTGTGATTTATAAATGTTAATATAACAGTATGACATTTTTGGCCGGGTCACAGAGAAACTCAGTATTCAGTTTCTAAAACTTTTGAAACTTTCTGCAATGCTGCTAACCTTTATCAGAATCCCCTCACTATAAAAGCTGAGTGGAAATGACAGAAATTCCCAAAAATTGACTGAAAAGAGACTGTATCATTAAAAAGCAACATGCGACTACATGCATAAACCCATGAGCTTGGACACCTTACACATAGACTGAACATAATGTTTCAGGTATTCTTCAAAAGGAGACAACACTCACACATAACCTCAGCATCTCTTATTTTTTTAACCATTCTTATATCTCCCACCAGAAAATTGAAGTGACCAACAAGTCAGTGTTAGACCTCTTGTCCAAAACAACAGAATACCTCCAGCCTAACCCAGGTAAAACAGATGGATGATGTGTTATTTTGTTATAGAATTTGCTGCTCTTTTTTTCCACAAATGCAACAAAGTAATGCATTGTTATGTTTTGCAAGCTGAACCTAGTATGTGGTATATTTCATGATTTCCTTCGTAGCGTCTCGAGCCAAACTGAACATGCTGAACACAGTGTCCAAGATCCGTGGGCAGGTGAAGACCACGGGCTACCCTCAGACGGAAGGCCTGCTGGGAGACTGCATGCTGCGCTATGGTCATGAACTGGGAGAGGACTCTGTCTTTGGTACAGATTCTCATGTTCCTGAAATTCTCAAATAGCAGCTGAGAAGTGTTTCAGTCAAGGATGCGCATGCAGCAGGGGGCTAGAAATAAAGTTGTTTGTATAGCTTATAGGCTACTTGGAAAGTATTTACAAGTTAAGCAGCTTGCTGGAAACCAGAAATACTTTTTAGGGGTGAATTTGCATTTCTCTCTACCCTGTAGGTTGTGCTCTGGTGGATATGGGTGAGGCAATGAGGCAGATGGCGGATGTGAAGGATTCCCTGGACATAAACGTCAAGCAAAACTTTATTGACCCTCTGCAGAATCTACAGGACAAGGACCTCAAAGAGATCACGGTACACTGCAGCAGGCTGCACCCTGTGACTAAAATTTGATCATGGGAAACACCAGTAGGATTTTATTTTGAAATTCATTATTGGCAGGGTAGACTGACTGAGAGATGACTGATTTTGTTCCATACTTTAAAACTTCGTCTTCAAGTTCTATTAGTACTGACAGCATCTGCATCACAGGGGAAATGTGATTTCCAACATGTGCCAGGATCTGTGCAGCACACTGGCACACTGTAATCTGCCAGTAGGCCTGTGCAATACCTCAAATGTTACCTTAATTTCATTTACAAAATGCATTCAGTGTGTGCTGCCATGCCTGTTTGTTTTTTGTTTTTGTTTTTTAAATCCAACTGTTAATGTCACACTACAAACAGAATCTAAACGTACTGTACGTCGATACATTCAAAATTTTACTTACACTAAGTGACGGTACAGAAGTCATCAAAAATACTACTCCACACACAGCTGGATAGTTTGGTCAATAATGCGTTACATGTTGTTGATCATTTATTTTGTTGTAAAATCTGAATCTAAAAATGTGGAATAAGTTTAATGTATGGTAGCAT